GGTAATGGGCCCCCCCCGGAGGCGGTTGGGCAACTTCTCCGATAGGATATTTGCATAGACTCCGAGTGGGGACCTCAAAGTTGTACATTCCGAGGAATATGGCTTTCCTCAGTTGGTAGAGACCATACAGGTCTAGCCTACTAGTTTTGAATATTTTTTTCCTCACCCCCAGCACTTCAGAAAATAGTTTATAGGAGTTATTTGTTACTCACTGGGTTTCTCCCCCATTTTTAATATCTTGGACATTCTTTTTGGCAGTTTCACTGGATGTGTAGTTGTGTGTTGATAGATCATAGATTGCCTATAACAGTGGTCGGCAAACTGCGGCTCTTTGGCCCCTTGAGTGTGGCTCTTCCACAAAATACCGACTTCTGTGCATGGGCGAAGTTTCAATCACACTGTACGTATGTGCCTGCACGTGGTATTTTGTGTAAGAGCCACACTCAAGGGGCCAAAGAGCCGTATGTGGCTGGCGAGCCGCAGTTTGCCGACAACTATCCTAATCCTGAACATGTTGATGAATATTTGGATCATTTTAAAATCTTTTTACCAATCTGTCTACATGTTTTGCAGTTAGATATTTAAATCTTAGCTGGTGTTGCTCACTGGATAGAGCATCAGCCCTCGGACTGAGGGGTCCTGAGTTTGATTCCAGTCAAGGGCACCCACCTTGGTTGTAGGCTCCATCCCCAGTCCTGGTTGGGTTCGTGTGGGAAGTAACCAACCGATGTATCTCTCTCACATCAATGTTTCTCTCTCTCTGTCTCTCCCCCTCCCTTCCACTCTCTCTCAAAATCGATGGAAAAATATCCTCTGGTGAGGATTAACAAAAACATTAAAAAAAAAATTAAATCTTATATTCATCTCTGTTGAATTCCAGTTGCTCCAGCCCCAGAGTTCTGTTGTTCTTGCTAAGCTGTCTGCTGGGTTTGACCAGTGCTGGTAGACCAGAAATCTGATACTGTGTTTGTGACTCATGCTGCCCTCTTCTCACTATGAGGATACACCCACTGTCTGGGAGACATGCAGTGAGGAGTGAGTTCAGGCATGATGTGTGCAGGGAAGTGGGGGGCTTGCAAATAGGACCATTAGGAAAGAAAACGATAAATATATTAATCTCTTTACTTGAACCTCATGGTCTTTTTAAAAATAGTTATTTTAAAAAATATATTTTTATTGATTTGAGAGGAAGGGAGAGGGAGAGAGAGATAGAAACATGAATGATGAGAGAGAATCATTGATTGGCTGCCTCCTGCACGCCCCACACTTGGGATCAAGCCTGCAACCCAGGCATGTGCCCTCACTGGGAATCGAACCGTGACCTCCTGGTTCATAGGTTGACACTCAACCACTGAGCCACACCAGTCGGGCCCCATGGACTTTTTAAAAAAGCACACGAAAGATGGATGATATCACGTACTCTCTGTGGCATGCATGTCTCGGTTTATGTGAAATAGCCTATTAAATGTGATGGGTCTTTAAATTATTTTTTCAAATTCATTCAAATCAATAGTAATACAATTTCCTGCTGTGAATATCAAATCTCAGTGTGTATGCACATGTTTGTGAAGTAGCTGCCCTTATAACTTAGCGAGAAAAATTATAATCAATGCCCACGTCTCAGCATGGGCCAGGCGTCGTGTTTCAGTAGGAAATCCGTGCCTGTGAAAGACGGAGAAATAGTTATAATGACCTCTTACATTTCGACAGCTTTTTGTTTTATCATGCATAAAATTCTTTAGCATGATTTCTGAGGTATGGATTAATTTTTCTTCTCCGATGGATGACTTCTAAGAAGTCAGCTGATGTGCGCAAGGTCACAGAGCAAGGGAGAATGTGGCAAAGCCAAGGGCCGAAGCCAGGGGGTATTCTGTTCCTGCCCACCCCCATTCACTCGTGATTTTCTTCAGTGTGTTTCCTTGACCGCATGCGTTTTACAGGCTCATAGACATTGGAAACTGGAAACAGTGTGTGTGTATGTGATTGGCTGGGATAAATCAGGGCTAAATTCTCTAGCACTTTGAGGCTCCGTAGTTTTTGTGTGCATATTATAATCGCCTGTCAGCAGTTAGGTTACCCACTTCAGAGATAAGGCAACTGAGGCTGCAGTTGCAGAGCTGGGGTTCCAGACCAGACCAGGCATCTTCCAAGAGCCCCAGACGAGGGCCCGGCCAGGTTCTTCCCAGGGAGCATCCCTGCCGGCCCAGGGGTATGAGGACCGCTTAGCTTCCCCACGTGCACGAGCTGCATCTTCGTGGCCCTCACTCTGCTTCCCTGCCTCTTCCAGGAAATGGCCCAGCAGCTGCTGGCAGTGTTTGGCGGCTACTACATCCGGCTCCTGGTGACCTCCCAGCTCCCCCAGGCAGTGGGGACACGACACACAGACTCTCCAAGGGTTCCGTGCCCCTGCCAACTCATAGAAGCCCACATCCTGGGCACAGGGTGCTGCCCGTTCCTGGCCAGGTGACCTAGGCACAAAGGTACTCATCCTCCTCCAGGACTGAAGGCGAGAAGTCAGGGAGGCCTCAGGAGCCCAGGGTGGCCCATGGTGAGCCCTAGGCGAGGAGAAAAGCATCTGGGGACACTCTGAAGGGTGTGTCACATCAGCAATGGGGTGTCGTGCTCACTCCAGGACCCTGCACAGAAGTGACTGTTGACATCCCCTGGTGACTCCAGGCCTTTTCAGAAGCAATGGTTGCCAGCTGCTCCCACCTGCAAGCTACTCTCCGGGATGCTTGGAACTGTGGGCCTGGAGGGAAGGGCCGCTCTGCCATCCCGTTCACTGTCTCAACAGCCCAGCAAATGTGAAGACGACCATCAACATTTGGTCTCTGCTGATGCCCCCATCTCCACCCTCTCACGTCAGATGGGGAAACAGAGGCCCTGGGAGGATGCTGCTCTGTGTGGCCCTGCCTTGAGCCTCTAGGATGACAAGGCTGCCTCTTCCCAATCTGAAAAAAAAGAAGTCGATTCTCAGAATGTTCTCCTTCTTTAAGTTTTCTCCTGTATTTAAGGAAAAACAGTGGTACCTCTGCTTGTTGTCTGCCAGTACACAGGCTACCAGGAGACAGAGGAAAGAAAGAAACAGCACGAAACTGCTAGTGGGGCTATTTGGAGAAGACCCGTTTTGAGGACTTGCTTCACTCAAAGGCCTGTGTGCTTGTGGCTGTGGTTTTATGCTGCAGGTGGAGAGCAACGCCCGGTTTCCTGGCCCTGGCCCTGTCCTGGAAGAAGCATCCTCTGTCACTCGTGGGTCCCATGAAGAGCTGAGCCTTCATTTGCAGTTTGGCCTCACCTCCCACGAAGTACAAAGTTTCATAAGTTGAAACGTTTTGCTGGACTGACATACCTATGCCATAGTAGCTGTTGGCTCCTATGCATGCTTCAGAGCCCCGCCTTTCTTACCCCACCTTTAGGAAGCTTTCCAACACAGCCAGGCCTGCTACTGTTTGCCTCCTTTTAAATTCTTGATGTAGCTGCTGCCTTTACTGATGTTTTATTTTATTGATTCTATTTTTCTGTGCACATGCATATTTTCCTAGCTAGACTGTAAGTTCCTCAAGGAAAAATACCACACCTGATCTTTTGTGAATGGCCTGGTCCTGCTAAGGGGTAATTGCTTTGTCATCTCCATAGTAGCTTTGGCAAGTAGCTTTTTGTGAGATCAAATGATGAGGTTGGTACAGACCTGGGTTCTGGTCCTGAACTGCCACTTCTAGCTGTGTAACTTTTGGCTGGTCCTCAGTTTACCCATCTATGTAAAGGGTAGATTCCATGACTCTTAATGGCCCCTCCAAAGCCAAAGTTCTGGAAAGGTCCTTTTTTTTTTTCTCCATTATGGCCCTTTGTCTGTCTTACTTCTTTGCCTTTATGTACATATAGAAAGGTTCTAGAGCGGTGGCCACCAACCTTTCGGACCTCACGGACCACCAGTGGTCGCGGACCACAGGTTGGCAACCGCTGCTCTAGAGCCCCACATGGATGAGGTGTCCCAGACCCGATGCACCTTTGGACAGAACACTGGCCTCGCTAGCAGGAGACCTGGATTCTCATTCCAGATCGGCTGCTTCCTAGCGGCGTGACCTTGGCTAGGTCACTTAACCTCCCCGAGTGTCATTCCCTCCTTTATAGATGGATCTGGTGAACATGAAATGTAATAACATGGGTGACTTGCCGTGCAAGAGATGAGTCTAACTCTTGCTTTCTCTGGGCCAGAGGAGAGAAATCGTGTGTAGAGCAGCCCTTGGAAATGGCTGTGTTAGGCATTTCTCTTTAGCCAGCTTTTAGGGCAGCTTTGCTCAATGAGAATTATTCATGAAGGTGATTATTACTCTCTTTGTCACCTGCCACAGAGGAAGTGTGGGCTGTGAATGTGATCAGTAGAAGCCCGTACTTATCATCCAAGCATAAAATCCTGGTAAGTATAATAACAATAAAAATGTGTGGAAAATGACAAAACAGCAGTTTTCCCATGTTAGGGCTTAAAGGGTCCTTGCGTGTCCTTCCCTGCCTTTCCTCCGTTTCTAACGGTCTCCCCTGCCGGGTGGGGCGTTCAGCTGTGCCCACGAGGTACATGCTCAGCTTTCTCATTGAGGAAATTCTGTCATCTCTGTCTTGCCCACTTCACAGGGCTGCCAGAAAGATCAGGTTCCACAAATGAACGTGCACCCTAAGTTTGAAGGCCCTGTGTTCATGGCAGCCATGGCGATGGGGAAGGTGGGACAGTGTCTGAAGTGGGTGCTTGGGTTCTAGAGTCACACTGATTCCAATCCGAGTTCTCCCCACCCTTAGGTCTCACTCCTCCCATGTGGAATGGGGATAGGAGTGCCTACCTGGCAGGTTGTTGTGAAGATCACATGACATAAAAAAATGTCAAGTGCTTGCAGCTTTGAGTTGCAAGCTTGAGAAAGAGCTCAATAAATGGTTGCTGTTTTTCTTAAATCTCTCACTGTCTTGTATATGGTAGGTGCCCAATGGATGTGTTTGTTGATGTAGTAGGCCACTAACAGTTTATGTTTATTCAGTCTACATCAGACCTCAGTCACTCCAGCACCGTGGGGTATATTTATGTGAATAAAGTCAAATCTTTCTTTTTGTTTTTAATGCTCTTATGTCAGGCCAAACCTTATTTTTTTAAAAAAATATATTTTTATTGATTTCAGAGAGGAAGGGAGAGGGAGAGAGAGATAGCAACATCAGTGATGACAGAGAATCATTGATTGGCTACCTCCTGCACACCCCACACAGGGGGATCGTGCCCACAACCTGGGCATGTGCCCTGACCGGGAATGGAACCGTGACCTCCTGGTTCGTAGGTTGATGCTCAACCACTGAGCCACGCTAGCTAGGCAGATTTCTTTGTATTTATCCTACTTGGGGTTCATAGCACATCTTAAATCTGTGACACAATATCTTTCGTCAAAGCTTCTACCCTCTTCTCTCTCATATGTGTGTTAAGACCTTTTCACTGTATCTTCCCAGACTGTGTTTTCCCTTCTTTTGGTTCCTCTTGATTCAGCCTATATTTTCTACTCTTGCCCTCATTAGTGTTTGATTGTTAATCCTTTCAAATTATTTCTTAGTTTCAGCTATTGTGGTACTTAATCCTAATTTTCTAATTGACTTTAAAAAATTGTTTACAGTTCTCAGCTGAATTATCTATCTTCACTGGTTTTCTTCAAGATTTTAAAGTCCACGTCCACTATCTCCAGGATCTGGTTCTTCTGTAGATCTGATTCTGTTGCTTTTTGGTCAGTGGATGTTATCTTCTGGTGTTCCTGGTAATTTTTGATTGAATGCTAGATTTTTTTTTTTTGAATGAAGATTTATGCAAGACTCTGGATATTCCTTCAGAGAGGAATTACTTTGCTTCTGAGAAAAGTGGGGTTGGGAAAGATTTGACTCTGGGTTTTAGTCCTGTGAAACCTGGTCTGTTTCTGGTTAGCCCTGACTTGCAGTTTATAACCCTTTGGGGATTTTAACAGAAAAAAAAAACACTTTTTAAAACCAGGACTCCTTCTCCAAGGTGAGCCCTCAACCTCCAATTTTTGTTATTCCAAGCTGTGAATCTGCAACCCCAGGTATGTGTCCTGACCGGGGGATAGAACCATGACCTCCTGGTTTATAGGTCAACACTCAACCACTGAGCCACGCCGGTTGGAACAGACAAAGATTTAAAGGGATCAGCTCTAGTTTTTGAAAAGCAGGCAAGGAGCGATACATTTGGAGCCCAGAGAACAACTGAATGGCTTTCTATCATCATTGTGAAGGGCAGCCTAACTGGTTGGTTAAAAGTATAGATTCTGAAGTCAGGCTTCCTGGGTTCAAGTCTCAGTTCTGCCATTTACTATTATTATAACCTTAAGAGACTTTCTAAGCTCTCTGACTCAGTTTCCTAATTTGTAAAATCAGGGTAGTAATAGTACTAACACTGTTGGGTTATTATACTAAGTTGATCTTTATAAAGCACTTAAAAGAATAAGCAATATACCAGACTTTATGCATTGCTATTATTACTCACACTCCTTCCTTAAAATTGCAGCATCTTTTAAAATTCCTCTCTTTTCTGGGGTGGGGGCAGGACCAGGGAGTGCTAATTTGATGAGATGTCCTCTTCACTCACCATGTTCACATTGCAAGAGTCAGAAATCTGGCAATGTTATTTTGTGGCTTAAAGCTCATCTGTGGCTCCCCAGTACCTTCAGAATAGAGTCAGCTCCCTTTCCCTGGATAGTAGGCTCTCACTGCGCCGCCCCTCACGTCCCACCACACAATGGCTCAGGTTTTCATTTCAGTGATTCCGCACATTGAAGTTCACTGTTCTCATACCTCCCCCAGGCTGTGCATTCTGTTTCCCAACTTTGCTTATTTCGTCCCCTCCTCCTGGGGTATGATTCACCCTCCTCTTCAGTTGGCCAATTCCCTTTTCAACCCTCAGGAAACTCAAGCACCATCTCTTCCAGAAAGCCTTCCCTGGATCCCCGAGTTGGTTGCAAAATGCTCCCCCTCATCTTTTTGCTCTCCGAGTTGTTCTATGACGATGAAGTGATCTGCTTCTGTGCCTGGCGCCCTGGCTAAAATGGAAGGCCTTCGGGATCCCCTGCATGGTACTCATGTTTGCATGCTCTGTGCTGTAGCAAATAGCTCCGTGTAACTGCACTATCACTCTAGGGCTGCTAGTGGCACATCCGATTTTTGCACAACCTGCCCACTGCTCACTGTGGTCCTGGGCACCAAATGGAGTCACACAGCAGGTGAGCAGCATCCATGGATGGTCGGCCGTTACACTAGCTGGCCTCTCCTAGTCGCGTCCTTGCTAGGTGGGTTAGGAGCGACTGAAATGTTTTAGAATGATAAAGCCACATTTCTTTTTAAGGCACTAGGTTCTAATTGCTCCATATGCAAGGGAATCGCTGACGTAGGGCTGGGGGAGGGGAAAAGAGGGACACAGTCCTATGATGCAACTGAGGACTTTAATTGGAGGCAGCTCCTCCAGCAGTGCCTTTCTCAGGAGCTGAAGTGACTTGCTGGCGGCACAGGGGTGGCTCCGACGTCTTCTCCTCCTCGAGGGAGTTTCTGAATCAGTCTTCATGGTCCCTGTGCGCCTCCCTTTTCCTCCTGGAGTCACTCCCGCAGCTGTGACCTGCGTGGGGCTGCTTCCTGACTAGAACCCTCAGGGTCTCCTGATAGTGCATGCCCTCATCATCGTGTTGTTGGGGTGGGGGCACCTCTTTTGACCACCATTTCTGCCAGAACTTGAGTTTAGATCTGAAAGTGAAGGACAGGGCTTTGAATCACACATGAATAAACAATCGTGGTCATATCGCATTTGGGGATCGCTCATAACATGGCTTAATACAATTCTGCTTGCTTGAGCTAAGAATAATCCTAAACGGGGTTAAACAGTTGAGATCTTTGAGTTTACTTGTCACATCAGCATAGCCTAGCTGGTCCTGACTACTACACATATACAGTTTCCATTTGTTAAGTACCGTCGTGTGGGGCCGTATTCTAGGCATTTATCTATGTTGCCCCATTTCATCCTCCCAACAGTCCGAAAAGTAGACGGTGTGTTATCATCTTCATTTTACAGAGGAAGATGCTGAAGCTCAGAGAGAGATGCACTGACGTGCTCTAGCTCAGTAGGTGGCTGAGGCAGAACTCAAGCAGGTATGTCACACGAAAGCCAGTGATCTTTAATATCTAATAAATATAGTCTTTAGGATGTATCTTCACAGGTTTAGGTAATTACTCCCCTCCTACACCCCCAAAAGGCTGAAAGAAATCTGAGGGTGTTCCAGCAAAAGGTGGCTGGGGAGGCTCAGGTGTTCTTGCCAACTACCTCACAGCCACGTCTGGAACCTACCGAAGGCCCGTGGATGATTCTGTTGGTTCATTCCTGCATTGTTAGGAGGCTCCTTGCTGGCTTCGCAGCAACAACAGAAGAACTTTGACCCCATGTTTTGGTGGGCTGTGAGGAGAGGAAAGGGTACTGGGGTGGGGCTGGCTCTGCAGCCCCAATCCCAGAAGCCCATTGTTAGTTCAGCGGTGTGTCATACTGGGCCAGCCTTTCCCAAGGTATCACCTCTCCCTCCCAGACCTGAGATCCCTGTGGTCAGCAGGCCCAGGCTCACCTGCAGGGGCCTACCTCTGGCCAGTCCTTCCTCCTCTTACCCAAGAAAGGGCTCGGAGCCTCTACTCTGATGGTCTACCTGCAGAGGCATCCTGTTGAGTCGGCAGACCTGGAGGTCTGGCACAGTTCTCTGGGCAGGGCTGTTTCCTGAGTGAACGTGAGACTGGAAAATGCCAGCAGAGCCCAGCACACGCACGCTGCAGCGCCCACGGAGAAGCCCGAGTTTAGAAGTCAGATTTACCTTCTGCTTTCTAGTGTCTGCTCCTGGGCTGATTCTGTAATCTCTTTGAGCCTCGCTTTCCTATCTGGAAAACGGGAATAGTGGTACCCGCCTTGGAACAAATGGTTAACTGTACATGAATGACCACGGTGATGGCAGGTGCACCTAGGTCAGTGGTGGCGAACCTATGACACGCGTGTCAGAGGTGACACGCGAACTCGGTTTTTTGGTTGATTTTTCTTTGTTAAATGGCATTTAAATATATAAAATAAATATCAAAAATATAAATCTTTGTTTTACTATGGTTGCAAATACCAAAAAATTTCTATATGTGACACGGCACCAGAGTTAAGTTAGGGCTTTTCAAAATGCTGACACGCCGAGCTCAAAAGGTTCGCCATCACTGACCTAGGTGCTGGCTCAGTGCTCACCCTCTTTGCCTTTGCTTTCCTGGGTGTAGCTTATTGGCTCCCATCTATTCCAGCCGGGCCTTGGTCCCATGGGAGCGTGACGCTGCGGCTCAGTCGTGCCAGTGGAAAGCCTGGCTCTGCACTCACTCCCTGTGTGGCTTTGGGTTAGTCCATGCCTGTGTCTGGGCCTAGGCTCCCATCTCTAACAGGTGGTGGTTGGACCGCATCATCTCTCCAAAGATTCAGCTATTACGATCCCCGTTCAAAGGTTGTACATCCTTAACTCATTTCCAACCTCCTTTCTCTCTTCCGGGCCCCTCGCCATCGCCTGCTCTCATTCCTGTCTCCCATTCCTGGCCAAGTTCACAGTCTAACATTGCCTTCCCCCACCCCTCCCTGCTGTCTCCTTTCACCCTCTAGCCCCTCCATTCTAGCTGCCTTGGCATGGGCTCCACCTTCGGCCTGGAGTGCTCTTCCCCAGAGGTCCGAGAGACTCAGTCCCTCCCTTCTTCAATCCTTGCTTAAAGGTCACCTTTCCTAGAGAGGCCTCTGGCCTGTTCACCCTATTTAATTCACCCTATTTAGACCTCCCTTCCCCCAGAACTCCCTCTTCCTTCCCCACCTCATTCTTCTCCAAAGCCTTTGTCATGTTTGGGAATGAGACGTTTGCTCAGCATGT